ATGTAATAAAATAAATTGACATAACAAAAAATATTATAATTTAAGCATTTTTAAATTCTAATTATTTAAACAATGAAAACTTGACAATTTTGTCACTTTTCATATTTTTCTGCTGGCTTTAAATTTCTCAGTCAAGTCTACACAGATTCCGATAATCAAATTTTTGAAACCTATTTCACATCAAAAAATATACAGACTGATTCATGTGGAATGGATTTTGTGTTGAATTTTATTTTTGTACACCATTTTCATAGAAAACTCTCACAAATCAAATTAATTTGATTTCATTGAATTACCACAAAGTTAATTAAGCTTCATTTCCGTATTTTTATTGACTTATTCAATGTTGCAGAACCGGAACCAGTAATTTAAATTAAATTGTGTTGTAACGTAAAAAAAACAAATTATTAACTTTTGTACATTTGTTAATTTATTTATCTTGCTAGTAACTAACACACTTTTTTGTTTTGTTTCTTTGTGTGTTTTAATTTGTTGTTGTTGTTTTTTTTTTTTTCTTCTTTACTTTAACCTCATTGTATATAGTGTTCTGTATGTATGTTTGATGTAGGAGGGTGAGCACGAAGAGTCTCTCAAGGCCTTACGCGCCGCCCCACAAGATGTGGTAAGTATTTTCTTCTCACTTGTAGTTTCTTTGCATTTTTTTCCACCTAACACCATTATTATAATTTTGTAAAAAACATTTCATAATTAATATTTACAACAGTTGGAAGATATTCGTCCCATGGAAGGTATACAAGAAGAAACTTCCAGTGAGAGTAGTGAGAGCGATGATGATGGTGAAAGTCCCGAATTCGTCCCATCAGCATGGGACAAATATGCCATACCAGCAAAATCTGCACTAAGATCTCCTGAAAAAACACTAGAAAAGACTGAAAAAGTACGGTAACGAAGTTGTATTAAAATATTTCATATAGTTGTTTCAGAAAAAATCAAAAGGTGTTTGGTTCAAAAAACAAAAATATCATTGTGTTTATGAATATCCACGAGAACCTGAAAGTCCTGTACTTCAAAGTTTTGATTTATGGAAGCCACAGTCCGATTTTAGTTCCTTTGACGGTAAGAGTCACTTTTTTGCATGGTATTTCCTTCATTGCCATCTTATACCAACCATGAAATATATTTAAAAAACCTTGTAAGAATATTTTTATACAGGGTGCGCCAGAAAATGACATGCAAGGTAAGGTACTAAGAACATGGAAAAATGTGTAAAAAAGTCTAAAAATTTTGAAGTTATGAGAGTTTAAATTTTGCACTTTGACTCCAAGCTTCCAAGTTTTTTTGCTGCAGAAAACAAGGAAACTGTGGCTTACTAAATGATTATAAAAAAAAACATATACAAGATCATCAGTATCATTAATAGACATAAAAAATGTCAAATGTCAAAAAATAAATGTAAAAAATTTCTGACACACCCTGTATTGTCAAAAAATGTTCTTTTTATCAAATAATAAGTCCTGAAAATAACATACGATTTTATGAGTAAAATTTAAAGTTCCAACTAACTGAACTTATTTAGGTATTGTGAAAAAAATGAGTTGGTAACACTACTTTACAACGTTTTTTACCCTATGTTACTGAAGTGGAAAAAACGTAAATCCCAAAAATCTCCAAAAAAATACAAGAACGAGTGAAAAAAATGAATTTTTATTTTTTTTTAAGAAAAATTTTTAATAATCCTTAGTTTTATTATTGGTTGCCCAAGAAATTTTTTAGTACTTTTCTAAATTGCAAGTAGTTTTGTTTCCCGGAGCCCGTTCATTAATATACAGGGTGTAACGAATTCCAAGTTGCACAGTTTAATAGTTAGAGGGCGCCAAAGTTGAAAAATAATTTTTGTTTTTCTTTAATAACTTTTTAATGGAATAATCGATATTTATTTTTGTTGTTTGGTGGTATTTGTTTATTTTTAATTCATAAATATATAATAAAATAAATTAATCACACCAAATTAGATGTTTTTCTGATTGGTTGTAGGTAATTATTATTGTAATTTTTTATTAAAAATTTGAAAAATTATTGATAATATTTTCTTTCATTTGCTGTTTTTTAACATTACAATAATGACATTGTCTTATGCAACTAAATTTTATAATTTCTTTATCTTTGATAATTTTTTTAAACAATAATTTTTAATAAAAGTGAAACAAGTACCTACCAAATTATTAAAAAAAAAATATGGGTTTCAATTTAGAATTAGAAAGTTGAATATAGCCCAAAATATAACCTATGACCTACCAATTCTAAAATTATCAGCCATTTTATTTATTTTTTTAACTTTTGAAATCGGACCATAAATAAAAATTCTACAGCGCCTGTCGTTTTTTAAAACTCACACTTATTATTGTTTTTAATACTGTGTTAAAAATTTTTAGATTTTAGTTTCTTTATCTATCTTTGTGTTAGTAATGTAATTAATTATTATTTTAAACAAAAAAAAATTAAAAAATAAATGAAATTAAGCCAGATGAAAAAAATGATTTATTCTCAATTTGTTTCCATTTAATTTTTTAAATAAAACAAATTTTTTGATAGTTTTTCTTGGCCTCATTTTATTATGAAATATACATTTTTGTGGTTCATACCTGATATTCGGGGGGCCAATAAACGGCATTCAAAATCACTGTTTTCTCAACCCAAAAAATTAAAAAAAACTACGGATTATTTTGAATTTTGTTTAATTGTTGAGCCTTAAATAAAAATGAGAAATTACGACTAAAATTTTCACGAAAAAGATGAGAAATTTATTTACACAAATTATTATTTTAAACAAAAAAATATATAAAAAAGTAAATGAAATTAAGCCAGATTAAAAAATGTAAAGTAGTGATTTATTCTCTCTTTAATTAAAACAAATTTTTTGATGGCTTTTCTTGGCCTCATTTTATTGTGAAATATAAATTTTTAGTGGCTCATACCTGATATTCGGGGGCCTAATAAACGACATTTAAAATCACTGTTTTCTGAACCCAAAAAAAATAAAAAAAAAACTACGGATTATTTTGAATTTTGTTTAATTGTTGAGCTTTAAATAAAAATGAGAGAAAATTACGAAAATTTTCACGAAAAAGATGAGAAATTTATATATACAAATTATAATTTTTCTAATTTTTTTTTTAATGAAAAATTAGTGCGGCGGAGTAAAAATTGTTTTGAATGTTGAGCTTTTCACAAAAACAAGAGAAAAAACCTAATTTGCAATGTTTTTTTATACAAAACACTCTTAAATCCTTACTAAAGTGAGAGGAACTAGAATTTTTAAGAAAAACATGAGATAAAAAAGCAATTCGGTTTTTTTCTCTGTCATTTTTTAAATAAAAATCATTTCATCCCACTCCTAACTTTTCCATATTGTAGACTGGGAACTAGATGGCACTGATTCTTGCGTTCCTTCTGAAACCCAGGACGATTTCGACTTTTCCCAAAATTACTACCAACCGAAACCTAGTAAATGTTTAAATTTGTATCAAATGCCAAAATTGAAAAATTATTTTTGTTTTTCTTTAATAACTTTTTAATGGAGTGATCGATATTTATTTTTTATGTTGTGGTGGTATTTGTTTATTTTTAATTCATAAATAAATAATAAAATAAATTAATCACACCAAATTAGATGTTTTTCTGATTGGTTAAAGGAATTTATTATTGTAATTTTTTATTAAAAATTGGAAAAATCATCGGTAACATTTTCTTTCATTTGCTGTTTTTTAACATTACAATAATGACATTGTCTTATGCAACTAAATTTTATAATTTCTTTATCTTTGATAATTTTTTTAAACAATAATTTTTAATAAAAGTGAAACTAATAGCTACCAAATTACTAAGAAAAAAATATGGGTTTCAATTTAGAATTAGAATGTTGAATATAGCCCAAAATATACTACCTATGACCTACCAATTCTAAAATTGTCAGCCATTTAATTTCTTTTTTTAACTTTTGAAATCGGACTATAAATAAAAATTCTACAGCGTCTGTCGTTTTTTAAAAATCACACTGTATTATTATTGTTTTTAATACTGTGTTAAAAATTTTTAGATTTTAGTTTCGTTATGTATCTTTGTGTTCGTTAATAATGTAATTAATTATTATTTAAAAAAAATGAAATTAAGCAAGATGAAAAAAATTTTAAGTAGTGATTTATTCTCAATTTGTTTCCATTTAATTTTGTAATTAAAACACATTTTTTGATACTTTTTCTTGGCCTCATTTTATTATGAAATATAAATTTCTGATATTCGGGGGCCCAATAAACGACTATCAAAATCACTGTTTTCTGAACCCAAAAAAATTTAAAAAAACTGGATTATTTTGAATTTTGTTTAATTGTTAAGCTTTAAATAAAAATGAGAGAAAATTACGACTAAAATTTTCACGAAAAAGATGAGAAATTTATTTACACAAATTACTCTTGATTTTTTCTGATTTTAGTGCGGCGGGGTAAGAATTGTTTTTTTCACAAAAAAAAAACGTAATTTGTAATGTTTTTTTTAATACAAATCACTCTTTAATCCTTACTAAAGTGAGAGGAACTAAAATTTTTACGAAAAACATCTGTCATTTTTTAAATAAAAATCATTTCATCCCACTCCTAACTCTTCCATATTGTAGACTGGGAACTAGATGGCACTGATTCTTGCATTCCTTCTGAAACCCAGGACGATTTCGATTTTTCCCAAAATTACTACCAACCGAAACCTAGTAAAAATTTAAATTTGTATCAACTGAGTAGCATAGCAGACTTTAATTCAAGTAAGCTTTCATTTTCCCTCCTCACACTTGAATGATCAAACCTGTTTTAGGCGAATCAGGAATGGACGATGAATTTTTCATAAGTAGTTCATCGAAACCCTTCGACATGATCACCGGCTTGAGTTCACAATTCTTCCCTGGAAATTGGAGCGATTTCACCACCAAAACCACCGAAAATGCGACCCCAGATAGTGGAGTTGAAGACATCACCCCTAACGAATTCACCCAATTTAGAAACGTCAAATCTCTAAAACAATTAGCCTCCGAGGCGGTAAAAAAGAACAAAAAAGAAGAAACCCGAAATCATGACATGTTGGGCGGTTTGAGACACACTCGAAATAGACTAAAACTTGATTTACCCCCCAGTCCGAGTGCTTTCACGTCGAATAAAATGTTTAGTATTGAGCCGGTGATCGATCCGGTGATTCACCGAGAAAAACCGACGTTTACAACGTTCGGGAAAAGTCGGTTTTTAGTACAACATGTTGACACACCACCCGATGATGAAGCAAATGATAGTAAAAACGTTTCATTTGAAGCTTTACCATACAAACCGCTCCAGAAACAAATAATCAAAGAAGATTTTAATACGAGTAGAGAGAAAAACAAGGTGGAAATTGTGAGAGGAGAAGCGAGTCTCTTAGATAGTGCCGACGAGGATAGTGGAATTGAATCAAGCACTCTTGAAAGAAAACTAACAAATCCTGTTTAAGTTTGTCTTACCATTTTTTTCTTTAATAAAACTTGATCAGGTCCTTTGATGCCTTAAACTGAAAAAGGCAGGCTAGATAGAGAAAATTAGATTAGCGATAGAGAAAATCAGCTTTAAACCACGAGTTTTTCATTCTTTCATTAACATGTTGATTACTCTACTTTTGTGATATTGTTTTTGTTGAAAACGTCTAGACTGTGCGAAGAAACATGAGTTTACAAAACTTGCCTAGTCTAGATGACGGAAATAACTCGATGTACAAACTTAAATTTGGCGTCCAAGTGTTGTAGTTTTGTAAACACTCAGTATTTGTATAGACTTTCGTTATGTTACTGAAATCAATCAAATTAACGTTTAATGTTAACTCATTTAAATTGTGCCCCTTAATATATTGTGGTTAATAAGATTTATTTTTTATTTTGTAGATAATTGTTGTAGAATATGTCCGTATCGGACCTAATAATGTGATCGGCTATTCATATTTCTTGTACTTGTAGTAATTGTATTGTAATATACTGTAGTAAGTTATATTAATAAACATTTTATTCAGAATTTTTTTAAGATAATATCCAGCACCCTTTATTTCCTATTTCACTAAATAAAATCACAACCAGATACAAGTTTGTTAAATCTATAAAAATAATCCACTCAGTCATTTATATTAAATTTCCTTTTTTCCATAAAATGACAAGACCTTGAAGATCACTTGTGGCCAATAAGGACTCATCATAATTAAAACTTATTCCTAAAACAGCACTTGCGTGTCCTTGTAATGTGTTGACTACTGCCCTATTTCCCACTTTTTCTACATCAACGAAATAAACACTGCCATCCTCGCTTCCAGTAACTGAAAAAAAATTAATTCTGTAATTTAAAGTTGCGGAAACGGTTTTAACATTTATTTAAATTTTGTAAAATAAATAATTTCTTAGATTTATTACATTTTCCGTTATTTTCTTTAATTCTTAGTGGAGATATAAACCGTCTTGTTTCTTGAAATCAGCGCCCAAACAGACATAGGAATCAATGATAAAACATTTTAAAATCTAAAGATGTTGAGTGAATAGTTATTAAATTTTTATTTTTGCCCACTTTTTGTTTAATTTTTGTTTCATCATCCTTGACATAATGATTTTGTTCATCTTTATAGTCAACTCACTATTTTTTTAAACAATTTTGAATACAGAGTGATCAAAAATGATTGTTTGAGATGGCCATTCTGAATTTTATTTTTTAATGGTACCATTTCCGGTTGTTGACAGCTTGACACTGACACTTTTATTTGCATTAAAAAATTGAAGAAAAGTCATCATACACAATAGTTCACTGAAGGCTGAATTTAACAGAAAAATGCAGTTTTTTGTTGATTTCCGTTTAAAAAAAACAGACTACCTATACCGTCCTTGACGGAAAAGTTTTTGACATTTGACATTTTCTTATGTCTTATGATCTTGTATACCCATGTCTTTTTATAATTATTTAGTAAAGGTAAAAAATTTTGTGAATAAAAACCACAAATAACGTTAAACGTAGTTACAATTTAGGATACAGCTTCCTTGTTTCCTCTGTTAATAGCCTGTAGTAAAACTTCAATTTTTTTAACTTTGATAATTTTTTAAACAATAATAATTATTATTATTTAAATATATTGTACAAGACTGTACCCAGAAAACTAATACTTTTCAAATAATGAAGAAAAAAATATAGGTTCTAATTTAAAATTAGAATATACAAGCTGTTTCAGCGAGTTGAAAAAGTGACGTTTAAATGGTAAAATTAAAAAAAAAACTGTATAGGACATTGATAGTTACTAATCAATCAATACTAATCACCTAAAATTATTTTCAACCATACAGCATGTCCCAAAAATAAGTTAGGATACAAACTTGTATTTTTTTAATGAAACATTGTATGTTTCTTGGCATTTTTTGGATGTAGCCTTTTAAAACAATGTTTTTACTTTTATTAGTCGATTTCGCTTAGTTTTAGAAATAAGAGGGTTTTTTTGACGAAAACATGCACTTTTTACAAATTTATTACATAAAAATTAAGACAGCTAGAACAATTTTTTTCTTATTTCTGCAAAGAAGAAAGTACAGAATTTAAAGTTGTAACAAATTTTGGGTGTTTTGCATTTGTAAAGATTAAAAAATGAAGAGATTTCTTTAAACTTACAAAATTTAAATGAACACCCTACTTTTCATTTTTGCATCTAATAGATTGATAAATTGTCTTTCTAAAAAAAATAACTTTTAATGTCTAAAATTAATAAATGAAAAGATATCTAACATTCAATATTAATTGTAGCAACAATGCCTATCAATATCTGAGCACAAATAGTGCTCAGATATAAACAATCCGGAGATTGTAAAAATCGACATAAATACGGAAATTCGAATTATTTTATTATAAAAATAAAGAATAATGGATTTAGTGATCATTAAGTGATATTTCTTTCATATCTTTTGCAACTGTGCACTTTTTGGCTACTGAAATAATAGTAAACACCTAAAAGTAAATAATTTTAGAAAGACAATTCAATAATGTTTCAAATGCAAAAACAATAAATAGGGTGTTTTATTTAAATTTTTTAAGTTATCGAACTTTTAACAAACGCCTTCATTTTTCTATCTTTGGAAATGCAACACACTAAAAAAATGTTACAATTATAGCTTCTTTGCGGTAGTAAAAAAAATATTTCTAATATCTTAGTTTTTGTGTAATAAATTTTTAAAAAGTGCATGTTTTCTTCAAAAAAGCCGTCTTATTTTTAAAACTAAGCAAAATCGCCCAATCAAAGTTCAGTTAAAGTTAAAAACATTTTCATAAAAATCTACATCCAAAAACGATAAGAAACGTATGGTGTTTCTTTTAAAAAAACACAAGTTTGCATTGTAACTTATTTTTGGGACACGCTGTATAGTTGAAAATAATTTTAGGCGATGAATTAGATTAGTATCTATCAATATAATTTCTAATATATAATTTTTTTTAATTTTACCATTTAAAGGTCACTAATGGACTTTTTCAACTTGCTGGGACCACCCTGTATGTAGCCCAAAATGTACCATTGAAGTCAAAATATACTTGTACAGTGTGTTGCTGTAGACACTTCTAAAATTCAAATTTTGACTTAGACACTATTTTTGTATGTAAGTCGAATTTGTCATAATTTTTGAGTAAAGGTTAAGTATTTGTAATGGTAATGTCAAATATGTCATATGATTCTTAAATAGGCATTAAATCGGTTCTTAAAAACAAGTTTTACGAATAAAATCATAAATTTATGACTTTGTGATAGACTGCGTTGTCTGAGAACTTTGACATTTTGGATTTATATTTTTACAAACTGTCACCTTACTATTTCATAATCATAGCTTGCTAACGCAATTAATTATGTTTCTTCAAGCCAGATTTAAACAATTAAAATTTTGCTGTACCAGTATATTTTGACCGCGATGGTACTATGACTTTTATAAAAATTCTAAAATTGTCAACTCATACTATATTAAAAGCCATTTAATTTAAAAGTTATTTAAAAAATCAAGACGGTTATTGCTGTGTTAACAAGAATTAAAGAAAATAACGTAAAATGTAATAATTTGAAGAAATTTTTGAATCAAAATTATTATTTGTTTGTACAATTGGGGACACGGAATTTTGGAGACCAAATTAAAAAAATGTCAATGTAAGCCACGCTTTATTAATTGTCATAATGATTGAAGTTTAAAATTTGAAAATGAGTATTTTCTTACCAACACAGGCCCCTTGACGGAATGACATAATTGGACAGAAAGTTGACCTCACAATGTGTTTTTGTTGTCTATTTTGGAAACTTTTTTTCAATTGTAATGTCCCTTCACCGTCTAAAACACTAGAGGATTTCAGTGAAAATTATAACTGAAATAAATAATTTACCTAAACAAACAAAACGAATTATTTGTCGCATTTACAAGAAGTAAAGGATCACGAGCTTCTCTACTGATCCAAGCTCTGTAACTCAAACTGGTAATTGAACAATTTGGCGACAACAAGATTTTCTTTGTTTTACAAAGAGCTCCGTTCAATTCGCAAAATAATGATACAATTTCCCCCTAAAAAACGCAATTTAACTTTTCTTTTAAATTTAAAAAAATTATACCTTGTCATTTCCAACCCAAAATATTTTTCCACTGTTATCTGAAGCTAAACATAAGACGTTTCCGCCGATTTTACAAGTGTTTTTCATGAATCTACCAGTCGACACATTGGCGATTTTCAGTTCTCCTCTACTATTACCAGTCTGGAGTTTGTTAAGAATTGTTAGTTTAAAGAAACCACGAAAATAATTTTTGATTTTTAGAGGAAATATTATACAGGCTGCGCCAGAACTAGGTAAGATACCAGGACCAAATGTTTAAAAAATTCTAACTACAAATTTCGAAGTTATGGGAGTTCAATGTAATCTAATTTTATCTATCTAATTTTATAATTAAATAATTAAATTATATTTTTTTACATCAAT